GCCATGCCAAACCCTTCCCTGGACAATATCCCCTGGATTTTATTTCCTTTTCCTGTGGTCTAACACAACCAACACTCTAGAACAACCAGCTAATCCACTCACTGTTCAGTTCCCCTTCTGCAGTTAACCTTAACAGTAATTATCCGAGGGGGTTTCAGCAAAGAAATTAGGAATTCAATTTAAATTATGGAGCCGCCGCATGGGCATAAATCAAGTGACAGGAGCTCGATGGTGAGCACACTTTGTGTGCAGTGAAATGGGCAGAGAAATGACAAACACGGCCAGCGTTCCCAGAGTTCATTATTTCACAAGTGTGTTTATAGATGTTGACTCTCCTCAGGCCAGGGGATTTCTGGGGTGGTGAGAGGGCTTCAAGGGCCCCGTTCCTGTCAGCCTCACCCTTGGAGGGAGCACACACTGATCCTGTGTGTGCTGAGTCTGGGAATGTGGCGTTTGATGAGCAGAAAACATTAAAACATTTACATTAAAGCAGAGCATTTCAAAGAATGATGATCCCAGCGAAGGGAGAACATTAAGCAGACGGAACATAAACACCAAAGTGTTGAGACGTGAGATCAAACCCTGATTTGTCAGGGAGGATGGCACTGCCAGTGCTCCCCTCATTCCAGCCCCCCTTCCCTGAGAAAACCAGGTTTATCCAAGGCCATCCCCTGCTCTGCCTCAGCAGATGGAGGCTTTCAAGGATGGAGAACCAAGGGATGGATTTATGGGATAAAAATACATTTAAAGGAGTCGTGATGACAAAAGATGTTTGTCACTGGCAGGGATGTAACCTTTGGGAAACTGCAGCCCCCGCACAAACACTCACAAACAACCAGGGAAAATAAAAGCAGCCAAGCACCCAAAACATCTCCCCACTGGGATGAGTGATGGGGTCTGGACTGCAGTGTCTGGAGAGCAAACTCCAAACTCCTCAGAGTTTCTCTTCCCTCACCGCGGAGTCACACAGTTGCTTGTACCAGAATTAAATCCTTTTCCTTTTAAGAGTTAGTCTGATGGTCTGGAACCAGACTTTAAACCAGCTATAAAATGCTGCAGGTTTGTAGAAAAAGATCTGGGGTTTTTTCCCTCTGAAATTCAATCTGCTCAGAATTAACCCCCCTCCCCAGTTTCCAAGGGGGGCTGATCACATCAGGCCCTGCAGCTCCGGGGCAGCAGGGATTATCTGGGCCCCTCCCTGGGTGGCAGCAGCACAATTAGCATCATCATACATTTGTCCCAGTTACAGAAAGCAATTATCACAGACCAGCTTATGGCATTATCAGAGTAAAATCAGCTCAGCACCCCAGAGCCTGGGCAGATTATG